GGGGGGCAGGGGTGGTCACGGGTAGGGGTGTGCAGGAGTTACTACTTAAAGTGCTATAAAATAAATAAAGCTACATTTATTTTTCAGAAGCTAAGCTCCATTTTTGGCAAGATTTTTGTCCATTTTTCCTTAACCATTGGGCTAATGGTGACATTCTCTCTGGCTTTCATTCTTCACAGTAAATGTATATTTTCTTTCCAAATATATTGCGGACAGTTTTGGTGTTAAATAATCATAAATAATTATAAACAAATCAATAATGCGATTAGATGTCTGAAGTCGTTGAAGCAGTAGTGCCGTACCGGTCTCGGACCAGAAGATCTCGGATTCAAGTCCCGGGAATGCGGGTTTGTGTATCGTCATTTTATCTTCATCTTCTTAATTATGATCATTTTATCTTCCGCACTCCAGGGCTAACAACCCTGGGAACTGAAAATCGGATCTAGTTAAACGCTGATCCTGTGATAAATTACATTCACCTGCCACCGAGATAATGTAACTGAGCCCCGGTAAATGCAAGACGCATGGTCCAAGTCTGCTTAGTCGACCTACACAACTTACACCTAGCAAAAACAACAAGACAGCCTATCAATAAGAAAAGAAAATCAGTTTAATATTTTTATCCTGTATAAAACACAGTAAATAAAATAAATATATAAAGTTAGTGGAAGCATTAATAAAATAAATATGTAAAATTAGTGGAAGCATTAATAAAATAAATATATAAAGTTAGTGGGGCATTGCGGTTGGTGAAGATAGTGGGGCGGCGCCAGGGGTTGGGGAAATAATTAAATACGATGTTCCCGCCCGTTTGTACTTTGCTTGTTTAAGTACTTTGCTGACCTTAGACTTGGAAACCGACTTCAGGAAAACAACAAAATCTAATAGCTGCATACCGCCTCTGGAATAATCATCCAGGCAGAACCAACGTTCAACTCAGCTACTTAGGTATAGAAAATTTGCAACGGGATGTGAATTTAGGACTTCTAGATTCTTGAATATGTTCTAGCACTCTTTCGTAATCGTATCAACAAGCCGCTTTCTGTGATCACCTCAATATAGACGTAGCGACTCTTTTAAGATATTCTTTCCGAATATCTTGTGAACCGGTGCATTAATTGTGATTTTGCTGTCACTAAAAAACGTATGTAAGGTCCATACGAGATGATTTACGATGTTAATCAATAGCTCCTCTTTATTTAACATTGATATATTCTGGAGAAAACTAGCTTCAAGGTTATTCTGTTCGATTGCTTGGACCTGCGGGGTGGACGAGCGTTTCCACGCTTTCCGGCGGTAGTGGCAGAATAGTGACGGCTGGCGTAGTTGTAAAAAGGCATTTCTCAAAAAATATTGTTATGCAACGTAAGGCGCATATGTATAAAGTCGTCTTTTTTACCCTTGCTAGCATGGGATAAAAATCCATTAGTTTTCGTTTAAAAATCAAAATTGTGCCCAATCTTTTAAATTAAAGCAAGCTATAGTTTAACAATGTGGCCGTCGCATACGTTCGTTTAAGTGAAGACAGCATTTTAATATATGAATCGTTTTTGGAGATATTCAATAGGAACTTCTTAAGTGGGTCACTGTAGCTCATCCTCGCTCGCAAAGCCGTGGCGCTTATGACCAATGGTTTGGTCTATCGCCATGTGGACTCGCGGTTCATCCTCTTCAATGAAGAGGACAGAGATCAAGGGTTACGGCAGCACTGAGAGTAGGGCTGAACATCTCAACTGTGAGTGAAGCAAACAGTAGACACTGTTGAGAGTGGAAGTCGCATCTCAAAGAGGTGCAGAGGAAAGAGTGCAATAGCAGGCAAGAGTTTCTGTAGAAACTTTTACTCTTAGAGAGCGGCTTATGTACAAGTAGAAAGTTTATAAAACGGAGAACTTGAAATAAAACGGAGAAATGAAATAACGAGATGATTACCTACAAGTGCAATCTATTTTCTTTTCTTTACGAGTACTTGAGTTTTCTTCGATTTTCATTTTTATTTAAAATTAATTTTCGCAGTTTCATAAGGTAATATACGATAAGCATTGCATAATATGAAGTGATGTATAAAAGACTACTTAGATTTTTAAATAGAAATAATTGTCTTTTCGGACAGAAAAACCTGAAGAATCGAATTTCCACCCGAATTGCTAGAGCACTGATGTCTTTACTGTGGATAATGAGCATTCAGTTAAACTAATAGAAATTAATCTAATATTAATGTCACTTCTTTGCTGACATATCTATTTTTTGGAGTTATAATGCTTTTGCTTAACAATATATTTCTTTCCTTGTTATGCTATAGTCCTTTTAAGAACACCTTACCTTCATGTCATTTCCTAATATCACCCCTCTCACCGTTTCGGTTTCCCACCTTCCCACTCTCTTCCTTTCTTCTCCTTTCTCTCACTCCCTTCCTTCCTCTTCTTCTATCTCCATTCCCCCCACCCGCCTCCTCTCTCTTTCTCCCTCCCTGTCCTTAATGTAACACTATGTAATTTCCAGCTGCACGCACGTTATTCAGTCACCTCATTTTATGGACCTCGTGGCCGTAATATCGTGCGCGGGTAGAGGGGCTCCGGGCGCGCCATTGCAGAGGGAAAAAAATTGACGGACGAACACATCGCCCGACACAGAAAGAGAATATGCGCTGGGACTTTATGTATTGTTGTGAATATAAATGCTTCCGGAGAAAGAAACAGTCTTTATTTTTTCAGCTAGCCTTCCAAGCCATCCTTCAAGCTCGCGGCTCTTTCTTTGCTGTCCGTTTGCCAGCCCGGGAAATAAACATCTTGCGAGGACTCGCGCCGCCAGCGCTGCGTGACTCCCGAAGACGGATCGTGGACGGCTGCAAGGAGGAAGGAAAAATTACTCTAAAGAGGGAAAGACCGCTGCCTCTTGACCACAGCTTCAAATGCCAATTCTGAAGGGGCTACGAATTTGCTGCACGCCTGTAGTGTACACGTAAAGCATATTTTGTCTGTATTAGGACGTCAAATGCTCGGGAGCCCTGCCTATGTCACTTCTTTTCTTAATAACGTACCTATGCCGGCGAGTATTGTCAGCATCGTCTCATATAAATAAATAACACGACATTTATATTGTCGTGAAAAATTACGGATGCATTTGTCTGCACTGAACTGCTCTTCATTTAACTTACAAAACCACACAATTCACAGTTTACGTATAACAGAAAGAGGATAGAACCTAAGATATAGCCTTGCGGAATCCCATATTCAATTGGTAAAGAATCGGAAGGATACGTAAATAACGTCGTTTCGTGCCAGAACAATATTTCTGCTCTTTGTGATGTGTTTAAGCTACGAGGTTATCCAATCTAGGGCGATACCACGAATTTCATAAGAAGGTAGTTTTAATAGCGAAGATGTTATGGTCAATAACGTCAAAAGCTTTCGAAACATCTAATAATATTCCAATGGATGCTTAATTATTGGTCCATTGATGAAGCAACATCTTTAAGAAAAGAAAAGAATCAGTAGATTTTGATTTTTTTAAATCGTGATGTGATTCTGAAAACGTTTCCTTTTTCCAGACAAAAGTTTCCATTCGCGTATTATAGTAAAGACTGTAATACACAGTCCGTCCCACGGAAAAGGTGACTGATTTTATATTCGCGGAACCAATCGCGCAATCTGTGATCTGATGCAGGAATTACGTAGTGTTGTGTTTCAACTACCTTCTTTTTTAAAAGGAACAGCACTGGCATCACAGACTGCTCGCAGTAAATAAAACTGCAACAGTATGTTTTGACCATCGGTCGTGAACAGAGCAATGGAGCAACATGCGAACATTAAGTTTTGTTTCAAAGTTGGTAAAAGTGCCACAGAAACTTTTGAAATGATACGTGTTTATGGTAGTAAAACAATGAGTCGTAAAAACGTTTTTAAGTGGTACGCAAGATTTCGTGATGGAAGAGAGATCATTGAAGACGATCCACGTCCAGGAGCATCAGCGACAGTTCGAGTCGAAGAAAATGTTCACAAAGTGGCTGAAATTCTTCGAAATGATCGTTATGCATCTACCAGGTTAATCGAAGAGCTCACTGGAATTCTTAAAACAACTGTGCATCGCATATTGACTGAAAATCTGGGCAAAAAGAAGATCTGTTGTCACTTTGTGCCCCACTCACTCACGGACGATCAAAAGCATTGCAGAGTGGAACACTGCAGAGACATGAAACGATCGGCCGATGAGGACGCAGACTTCCTGTCATGCATCGTAACCGGTGATGAAACATAGTGTTTTCAATACGAGCCACTTACAAAACGCCAGAGCTCGGAATGGAAGGGTCCAGAATCTCCGAAATCGAAAAAAAGTGCGAATGAAGAAAAGTCGGGTCAAGCTGCTCAGAGTTCTCTTTGATTCCAAAGAAGTTATCCATAAAGAATTTGCTCCAGAAGGTCAAATGGTGAACGCACTTTACTACTTGGGTGTTCTAGCGCGTTTATGGTCGAGGATTGTTCGGGTGAGGCCTGAATACCGCAACCAAGGAACTTGGTGTTTGATGCACGACAATGCTCCAGCGCACAAAAGCAAGATCGTTCGCCAATTCTTGGGTGAAAAAGGTATTGTTGCGCTTGACCGTCCTTCTTATTCGCCGAATTTCGCTCCGTGCAACTTCTGGCTATTTTCTAAACTGAAAATGGCCACGAAAGGACGATGTTTCGACACGATTTCCGATATCCAGAAGGCTACGACAACGACCCTGCAGGCAATTCCAATTGTTGACTATCAGAATTGTTTTGAACAATTTTTCCAACGCTTCCAATTGTGTATTGACTCACAAGGAGACTATTTTGAACAAAAAAGCATGTACACTAAGAACAATCAACTTCTTGTATTTTATTTCACATCAGTCACCTTTTCTCTAGGGCGGACTTTTTCTCTTTTTGAGATGAAAGCATGCATTGAAGGGAAATGAAAGCATTGAGTAAAATATATAATATAAAATATTTTTCATGTGTCAACAGCGTTATAAAGTGTGTGTCATGATTCCTTCAGCAAATAGTCCGTAAATAATTTTATGTTAACTTTCGTGAATGCTCTGCAAACGCGTGTATTATTTATTGTGTCGGTATTCATGTTATAAGTAATTGTAAGAATTTGTGCTTCGTGTTCACTAGAACCTAGGTTAGTAGTGTTTATTTCATATCTAGTTGTAATTTTTTTAATTATAATTTGATCTATTGCTTTTTGCGATGTAAATTGTGATGGTATATTCATTGTAATATCTAAATGAAAGGGATGCAGTAAATTGAGAAACAGTTATTTTTCATGGGATTCGCTCAGAAAATCAATAATGAAATCTCCACATATAACAATGGATTTAAATGACAGATTACTAATTTTGTTCAGAGTTATCTCTAGATTTTCTAAGAAAACGAAATTATCCACAGCTCGCTTTGTTGGAGGTCTGTAGATGCAGAGTAAGATAATTTTGAGCGTTGTAAGATGTACGACTATTTTTTCAAAATTTTTTTCAACTGCATATAAATTGAATTCTGAAGAGAAGATAAAATCAATATCGTTTCTTACGTAAATACAGAAACCTCCGTAAGCATATTTGATTCCTTCGATCTACAATACGCTCCTGCAAGAAAACTAGAAATTTGGAGTGTGTTTATATCATTATGAGCCAACCAGTATTCTGTAAAGCAAAAAAACTTCTATTTGACCCAGATCACACTGATCTGGGTCCCAGATGCCACGATAAATTCAATTTTTTTAAAAAGTGATTGCACATTGTGACACATATTTTGAATTTTTTGCATGTACCTATACGGATGTTTTTCTGCAGCATTTAACTGGAGTTGCTGTTTATTGATCTCATTTTTACCTCGAGTGCGTGGTAGAAGGAAGTATCAGTGACGAGAGGTGAGGAAGGAAGGGGGCAAATGAAGATAAATGAATAATGGGAGGGGTAGTACAAGGATTAGTGTTAGGGAATAAAATAATTGGGTTCAAAGAGGTCTCAGAGGATAGAAGAAAACAAGGAGATTGGGTGGGGATGGGTGTTTATATACAATAATATCTATATTTTATATTGTTATAGACGATATTCTGAGCATTAATACATAATAATATTCGTATTATAATCATTTTTTAAACAGCATCAATCGATTAGTACCAGTTTTTCTGTATGATTATAAAATGCTAGTTCGCCGCTTTATGAATTATAATTCAGCTTCATGGGAATTGTCTATAATCTCGATAAAGTGTACGTCCAGTTTCTCTTTAGCGTTTGAGTAAATGATGAGATCACACAGTACTTTTTTTGGACATAAATGATGCTTCTCAAACTAAGCACGTTTCTAACAAAGATATTTCGTCAACGTTACTATAAAATAAAATATGGCTATATAATAGTTTGCCTATGAAATAGTATTCCATTTGCTTCGGCAATGGCTACGAGAAAGAAACATACGGGTTTTGACGGTACGCTCGCTAGTTGGTACCTGCCTTGATTATTTGACAGAAATAGGAGAAGTATTCTGGAGCGTAAGGAATCGTTTTCAATTCTGTCTCCTCTTATATTACACACAGATTTTTATATTTTGGACGATAAACTAAATTTCATTATTAATGGATCAAATAAGATTTGGTGCTCTTGAGGCTGGGAAATACTCGTTAGATTTGATGGGAGAGCAATTACTAGAAGCCGCAACGAAACATTGCCACTTCTATCGATAGTTTTTCATCAGACAAGAGTGTTCTGGAAAAGAAACGACATACAATTGACAAATATTGTTACTTCGAGAAAGAATTAACGAGCATCGAAAAGATTGTCATGGTTACCTCTGTCCAGACGAAATCAAACGTTTCTTTATGAAATTCGTCGTTTTACTTCACGTTACGACTGCATCCAGTGCCTCTGATGACAATGCGAGCTCGTGACGTTTCGTGGCGTCTGCAGTGGAAATCACTGGGTTCCGAGAACTTTTTTGAATGGTGTATTTCGCGGGGCTGTCCATGAGCTGGTGACGCTCCGAACTAACAGGAAACAGTTGACAATCTACGTCAAGGAACTTTGTACGAAAGAAGTGAGTATTTGGTCAACCGGGAAGAAATTGGCGCGGCTTTTTTTGAGTAGAATTATCTCCAGAGCGCCAAGTTTGAAATGTATGATCCGTTCCTCAAAAACGCCTTCAAGGAACATCAAAAGTGCCTTATTAGAAACGAGACGCTAAATTTGAAGCAATTTGGCCGTCAATGTTTCAACAGGTGCTTTCATTATTGTATTATACTTTGGAATGAGTTGCAGAAAAAACAAGCGAACTCCACACATGCCGGCCGACCGGTCGGAGGCTTAG